AAGACAACAAGTTCCAGTGGAGCAGTGGACCGCAAGAGTCCAGCATTCGTGGAATTCGAGGGATGCCTCTTCTTCCGAGAATAACCCACTTCTAGGGCTCTCCCCAAATTCAGACCAAGCAATTTCCAACATATTCACAGACATGCTAGTGGCATGGTTGCACAAGCAGGGCGCCTCTCATGCCACAGAGTTCGGGCAGAATACGAATTAAGTTCTACGCCAGTGGCCCTTACCTGTAGCCGCACCTTTAGAGTGAAACTGAGCGCCGCTGGCCTGCAGTTCAAATTGAACTGACGGTGCTTATCATCCTACGCCTTACGCCAATTCAATACTCATACATATGTCCTGCACAAAGGTGATTCTCGCATAGCGCACCCATACAACCTCTTTCTTTTCTTCTTAATACAGGAGTAAAACCCGCAATAACCTAGCCTCGTTGTCTCGAATTGCAGAGCTATGACATTAAGCGGTCGTACATATAAAGGGCAAGACAGGAATACCGTATGCTGATGTCTCCTCCCAGATGGCGAATGAAGCTAGGGACCGAGCCCAAACACTTCCCATGACGAAACTTCAATGATCACTCATTGAATTCCCTCATAACTACTCTCGGCTTATAGGGACCTGATACTCGTGATGGACGTTGCCGCACCTTCATCAGAGGAGGGACACCAGTCTTGAACCCGTGTTATGCCGTGCGCAGCTACTCTCGAGGTTGGAATCTGTGAAATAAGACAGCAGAAAAGACGAAGTTCCTCATAAGGGTATTCGCATTTCAAACAGGATAATTCCGCACGTTTCCTCGATTCCACAGGACCAGGAAAACAGCTCATCACCGATTTTTGCGAGCAAGTACGGTCTGCATTCTACACGGCGGTTCTGTATCTATCGTCGGGATAATCACGCACGCTCCCTTATTACTAGTAACCTCAGTTCATCTTCACACCCTTCGTCATTAACGCCCGATCACCAGTCAGCGCCCTGTCTGGCGGCACACATGGTGTATGGAGAAAACACTCGCTTAAGATATTTCGGCCAATATATTGGCCACTCGGTCCCTATGCTGATGCTTTCACCGGTGGGTGTCAAGCATGTATGACGTGCCAGATGCGGAGCAAACCAATTCCAGCGTATAAAGAACGACAATACCAGTGACCCACAGTGCAGGCAGTTTTTGCAAAGGTTGGGCTTGACCTATGTGACCCACTTCAAAATAACTGAACGACCGGCTTAATCGCTCTTATTTTGAATATGATTTGCTTGGTTTTTACACGCATACGTCATTTCTGCTTGCCTCTACCAAGACGCACGTGCTAATACTATTGCTCATTGCACCTTCTCACGAATGCGTACTCAAGATTACGGTCGAACCATGTCTGAACTGATCGTCCGACAGGCTTCTAGCCTTTACATCCAGTTTCTATCAGCGAGGTTTTGCAACCCTTTTTTTGCTGCTACCATTCAGCATCCATGCGTCCACACCCTATCATTCTATGGGAAATGGGGCAACAGAACGCACTTTCTACCTTTGAAGTCAATGGCTTTCTAAATTTGGTCATAAACCTCAAACTAGAGATTGGGATCTTTTCTTTTACCATGTCGTCACTTTCTGTTACAATACTACTATAAAATGAGGCGTCTACGGGTGAATCTCCTTACTTTCTATTATTTCGGACGCGATCCAATTTTCGTTATTTCGACCGTTATCCTTAACCCACAGAACCAACTTCTCTAGACCTGCATTCTCACACGGCAGTATTGGACTACGAGGCGTCAGCTGGTGCAGCTCTGCCAACTTGCATCGGTCTAATGCGGCCGATTTTTGCAGCGCACTACTATAAGCAAAAATGAAATCTGCGTTGAACAAAACAGCCCCCGACCATCATCCATTCAAGTTGGCGATCGCGTATTTTTCAAAAATTATACCGAACAAGCAAGGGGTTGGCACGCAAATTTATGCCTTTCCATGGAATTGGTCAGTTCCGCGTTATCCAGATGGAATCACCACATGCCACATCGTGAGCATCACCTTCCCACAAGCCCAAGCGCAGTAGAAGTGCATTTGAATCAGATCAAAAAAATATTCGAGTGCACCGGCCCGGCTTCAACCCTTCCCACGATTCTTGAGGAGGAGGAGGAGCTAGTGACTCACTACCGACCGCGTCTATCAAAGGGTACGATCACGCCGTTACCCACAACAGTCCTACCATGATACCCCAGCAAGCAAACACACCTTATAACCTCCGCCACGTAAGGCCTCCAACCGTAAGCGCACTTCCTCTAATCTCATGCTACCTTCTTCACCTCATTTCTTTGAACAGTAATTCAAATCCTATGTATTCTTTGCCCTATTCTTTCCTTTCCTCTGACACTACTTAATCTACCACTAATATAGTTCACTTTCGTAGCTACGATTTACCGTTTAAAATTCATTTCTGAATACTGTTTGCGATACGGTGGACGCTGAAATAATTTTCGTATGCTATACGGGTCAACGCTGGAATAATTTTCATATTGCTATTCCAGACAATATGGAACAATCGCCCTCTCTTTTATCCCAACCTAAAGGTGACGATCCTCCTCAGAGCGTTACCTCCACGAGAGGAACTCTCACCACAACACATTCCTACTTCCGGACTATGTATTTCGCCTCATCACCCTTTAGCATTTGCTCGTCACTGTTAACGCATAATACCTATTGTTCTAGCATTCGAATGTTGCCCGTCGCGGTGGAGGAAACAGTGACTGACCGTCCATGTGTCGACGACCAGAGATGACGGACGATAACAAGGAACGCTTCCGGCGACGGATTCTGCGTCAGAGCCACAGCAAGATGCAGATAAGTTACCTTCGAAAAGAGTCGCTCGTTACCTCCACGGAGGAACCAGCTCCCAAATATGCCAAAATACGTGTGAATAAAGACTCATCGGATAACTCTAATAGTTCGAGCTTCCTCTAGTTCCTCCAGTTCTTCTTCGGATCAGAGGGATCGTCCTCTTCGGAAGACTCCGAAGATGAAGATACTGCACCCCCGTGATATGGATCAATCGGTGATGGATGTCACTAGTGAACAGCCGCCACAACAGGACGATGTGTGCCGATGGACACCGGACACATAGCGACCAGACTGGCGTTCTCTCGTAGACAAAAACTTCTCTACGGCCTCCCACGTTCCTTCCTTTATTGCGGTCCCAAGCACAGCTGATAAAAGTTCCGTATGAACCGCACCTGAGGAAGATCTGAGACATTAAAACCCAGCCGACCGATGGAAAGTTTTGAGAACCACCCATGCGGCTCACCTGGCTCAAGCCAAAACTGGTCCCTCTTACTGACCCCTCACTTATGCATACTAATTCTCGAAGTGTCGCGGTTTCGAAGAGACCTTATTTCAGGGTATACAGAGCTGATTGACAGACTCTTTCCACCTCCCTCACTCAACGAGGCACCCAAGCGCCCGTTTACCCTTAGTATTTAGAAAGCAGTCGGCCCAAAGCCATCGAAGCTTTCCGTCAGAACAACGACAGCGCGCATTTGATTGCATGGCTGTCGACAAGGGAAGCCGCGCCCAACAACTGCCAATAGTACCAGCCCCAACCTAAACATAAAGACAACTCTTACGATGCACGGCTCGTGTTCGACGGTTGATGTAGCCCCCGTTTTATACCGTGTCAAGGACCTTTTCGGTAACTTCGTCAAGCTTAGAGACCGTTCATGTTGAAGTCGCTCTACCAGACCGACTCGATCTACATACTATTCAGTTAGATCCCTCTACGCATATCAACATATGCACCCCGCAAAAGAGGCAATTGATTTGACAAAATTCTTAATTGGTGACCTCGTCTATGTGTATTCACTGGCCGTTACAATGAAATTCCGCTAATTCCGATATGGCCCTACCCACAACACGGTAGGCGAGGCAGTGGCGTACCGCAAAACCCAATGGTATGGCGAGTTGCGCGATTCGCACCTCTTTACATAGAGATCTTCAGCCTACAATGGCGATTGATTCGTAGTGTCCGTACAACGTCAGCCTAGTTTTCTCGATGCAATTCTCACAGGCAAGGGCACACATCAACTAGTCCACGCGTCATACTTTACGTTTGCAAGAATCCTCAGAAAGCAGATGAGATCTCGGCTAATTCGTTCATTACGGCACCTTATCGTCCACCGCCAAATAGACTACATGGTTTTCGCGTGCCAGTACAAGGCCTCACCCAGGGAACTCACCTCCTTCATGGCAGACATACCTTACATTTCCCAGCCACCCCCGCTCCATACGGAATACGTAATGTCAGCCAATCATACAAGGATCTAGCGCTCGACGGAACACAGTATTCGAGGTTTTCAAGGAGAGGCCAAACGAAATTGTCCCCTTTCTAGCGACCTTCTTTAGCCACCGCATGTGGAGCTATCGCTGCCTGTATTGCGGAAGCCAATGATTCCACCGTTTACGCAGCCGTGTGCGTCATCCCCAAATATTAATAGCTTTCCCCCGGTAGTTAGCTCAATTTAGTATCCCCATCGGTAAGAAAACAGGATGGGCTGTCGATCGTCCCATTCAAGGTGCATACGAGAATGACATTCTCCACGGTCAAAATCCTCGATGTTGAAATGGATCGGAAAGAACCCTTGACGTAACAATTCGCCTGGACACACCTGACCGGAATACGATTCAGGTCGTACCTCCTCACGTCCAGAAATAAAAGAATGCCGTCGGTACCACGCTACATACTCTGCATGAACGAGCCAATCCTGTTCTCACCAGGCTTGACAACGCATGCATGACCAATATACGTCCAATTCAAACGGCTGCGAAAATTGCACGAGCATTTCTGGCAGGCGGACATCACACTCGAAGTGAGGCGTACCCCAATAAAGAGGCCATCACTGTTTCAGCTAGCAGGATCGCCCGTACAACTCAATCCTGATCAAAGTTTCAGCTGTTAATATGTTCAACAAGAGGTATTCCTTCAATAATATAGGTATAGCGCGTTTGGTGCATGGTAATCTCTCTGCGCAGCCGTTATGGGCAAGAATCGGTAACGCGTGAACATACAATTTTAGTTACTGCCCGTTCAAAATGGTGCTCTCGATATCATCGGTGAGAAAATCGCTGGGTGCAATCCCCCGATATTAGAGCTATCCGGTATGTCAGCGAAATCTCGCGCGCACGGACATTTATAACCAATCCCCTTTTCGCGCGTCCACACACATCATGGAGAACTCCATACCACCCATCGCCACTTGTTATCCGAAGACCTAACAAAACGTTCAAAACGCTTTTTCCGACGACCGGCAACGGCTCGCGAATTCATGTTTAGTAGTCCCAACATTCAGGTAGCTAACAAAGAGCACAAACAATTGTTTTTCCTGGAAGAACGCGTCTTCTTCACAATTAAAAATTCTCACTCGTAATTCAATCAAACTCTACGCACACCAATGTATACTTGTGCACGATTTCTACGGCCGTTAAATCTCACACGTAAAACAAGGTTTTTGGCGACGGTTGGACTCGTGGATCAGGTCCTGATAGATGAAGCCTCTATGGTACCTGAAGCAGCGTTGATGACGCTCAGTATCAACGGTTCCAAGACGCTCACATCACGTTGATCGCGTGACCCTTACCAGTTACCACCTTCGTTGGCATCTCTAATTGTCCACTAGCTCGAGAAGTCAGTTATAGATCGGTTATTAGACATTGGGGAATCATCGTCGCCATTACCAAGTTGTGCTCTCAGAACTGTGTACCGTCCACATGTCGAAATGCTAAAGCTCAGTTCGCGAGTTTTTCTACAAACGTGAGCTGAGGTGTGCAACACCAGCATCAATGCGTCCAAGATCTGCTTTCGCGCATTCTGATGCCTAACCCGAAGATACAATTTGCGTTATTGACATACCATCCGCGTCAATTCAATCCATAACCGGTTCAATAGCAATACCGCAGAAGCTACAGCTGCCCATGTCCTTGTTCGTCTATTACTGGCTAAGGGTTTTCGCTACTTATCAGATCATGCGTAATTTGTCTATATCGCCGACCAGAAACTGTTGTGCGAAGCGCATTATGCAATCAGCAAAAGTCACGATTTCTACTGTAGACAGTGCTCAAGCGGAAGGAGAGTTCAGTTGTCATCCTATGTACAACACGGACACCAAGAGAGCATCCTAATCATTTCTCATTCTTTAACGATTGTCGTCGGCTAAATGTAGCTATCTCGTGCCAAACACGGACTGTTCATTTTGGGTTCTAGTAGGCAGCTCTAGAACGTACATATTTCTGAGCTCTATTTTACGTTGGTGTCGAGAGCGTAATCTGGTCACGAACCTCCACTTTTTCGACAAGTCTATCCGTCCCCTAATTCAACCATAACGTCGAGGACGGACTTTTGCGGAAAAGGGGGAGATGTAAGGGCAGGAAACCCCCCCCCCTCAGGTTAAAACTCCTTTACCACTCTTTTTGGTGTCTTTCCATTCATACCGTGCCACGTGTTCTACTGTGAATGTATTCCAGAGGCAGATGATTGCGAACTGTCAGCGCACGATCGATGGGCGGCAGCGCGCAAGCACGAGCAACGGAAGAAGATCGGAGGATGTGACGGAGCCGAACCGGTCGCAGTACTCACGCAGCACTCATCTATCTTTCCTATTTCATGTAAGCAAATAAGCCTTCCTGACGTGTATTCCTATTATCGTGATCTCGTTGTGCCTTATTGTAGTAGTACTTGTACGTGGATATGAAGTTTCTTAAGGAATTGATGTGTTTTGTACAGGCATGCCTGAGGCCTTGTGGATACTGACAAGGGACGAGTGAAAGAGGACATTCGGACCCTTTACTCAGAACGTGATAACACCTGATAAGATTCGATAAGGGGCCTTAGAAAGGAGCGACGACCGAGTTCATACTAGGAGGACACAGCAACAGTAGAGAGGTTGGTTTCAAAGGTGTGATAGAGAGTGTGGGACAGAAAATTATTTGTGGATGGAAGGGAAGTGATATCAGCTGATAAGGACCAGAAAAAAGGGTCAGACGGGAGGGGCACCGATTCCATGTTGTGTTCCTAAAAACAGAATTACGATGCGTTTTTTGAATTTTTTTCTGAGAATTACAATGCGTCTTTGAGTTTCTTCTACATAAAAATGTTACAGATAAAAAGTTGGATATCTCACCCCCGTGTACAGAGTGACAAGACAATAGGCCCAGCGAGAGGATTGTACCATTCACTAGCCGACTTCGCTACCAGACTGCGAAAAAGGAACTGTTACCTCGAATAGTTGAAAGCAAAAGGAGAATAATGGCAAAGGAGCAACTCTGAGGTATTGGCAAGAGACAGAAGCGGTTTTCGCATGTCAAATGTTACGAAAACTCATGTACGGTATCGGCTTCTTAGAGTAGGTTCGCAGCTGTGTCAATTTCCAGTTATGTATAATAAAGTCCCGTTCGTTATTCCACTTGCTGTTTGTCATCCAGTTATCACGAGCCCATGCGGTTCCCTAAAAATGCAGTGATACGATTCTGCGAGGAAATTCAGGTGATCTGGGGTTAAGGTGGGAAGTAGTTTATAGACCACCAGTCTTTATTTGAATTATCTATCTGCTCGTGCCAATAAGCCTCATAATTATTTTGATTATGAGAGCGATTTCTCGCTGTATTAATTCGTGCAGATAAATAATCTCGTATAAAAAGACAAAACCAAGCAAATTGTGGAATGTCTCCATTGCTTGCACCTCCAACAACTTTGCTCTATGATCGAACGAAGTCACGATCATTTGGAGTGTCGACCAGTAAGAGTGCACAGAATATACTGTCTTGGCTTTGGGCAAAACAAATCTAGCGGTGCTAAACTTGTTTGGGTTTTCGAAAGAACATGTCATGGTCATTCGAAGAAAGGTATAGTTCTATGCTAATTCGAAGAGTAGATGACGGACATGTCTTTTGAAGTGCGGAGCACCCACAGCTGCACCTTTCGCTGGCGTGCTCTTCAAAACTTCGTCTTCACAGCTGACACAGCAAAGTGACACTTGCTTGGAATTAAATATTTCAGGTGATGTAAGCAGATGTAAGCAAAAATACATACTGCTTTCTCACATCCTCATTCGTCTCCTATGACAAATTGCCCACGCACCTCCGAGGAAGCCGGAGGTGGGTCCGCAATTGCAGTTGGAGTGCAGTAGCTTAGTTTCCTCCGCTTGAAAGTATGCGGAAACGGAGGTCGAGGGTGGTTATGACTTGGTCCAGGGTAGGTGGCATTAGGGCATCACTCAGGCCGCTCGCCTGAACTTCCGAGCGGGGAAGTGGCAGGCTGCTGCCATTCTCACGACACACGACAAAGACCACGATCCACGGAGATGAGTGTACAGTTTGTCCAGCTTTTCTCGATACGCCTCTTTTGAGGGATTGTGATGTGCACCACATAGAAATCAGCTCAGAACACTTAGTTCCCTCCATGGTTTTTCCACAGAAGGTAGGAGGCTGGTATCAGTAAATCTTCAAAGAATCAATTTTTCAGGGTGTTTACGAAAATCACCTCGATTGATTTTCTGAAGATTGGAGAAAGTTTGTCAAATACAGGTGAAAACTCGTTGCGGGGAGTTTTCTCTCAGAGGACTAAAGTGTTATTTCCACCATATTCTGACAAACAGTAATTCTACCGACATCACGATATGAAATGACAATACGTACCCACTGAATGTGTAGCTTAGCCACGTCGACAAATGACGGTGTTTTGTCGGTTGGATCAAGGACCCTCTTCGACTAATTTCACAATTTTCCCTCCTACGAGTACTTTGTGATGAACCACCGCTAAGTGGAAAGAAAGAACAAGGAAGTGAAGGCAACATTCCAGATCTACCACACAGAGATAGGCTTTACTCGAAGGGTTTGACCTTACAAGACTGTACCATTTAACAGACACGTGCGGCTTTTTGGGGTAATTTCTCGCTGGAAACATTACATTTTTCATTGTTCGCATTACGGTTGACTTGAACTTGTTCCTAATACACGAGAAACAGCATTTCCAAGACGTCAGGATTCGAGAAAAATTTTTATTACCTTGCACTTCTTGACTTGACCGCACATCAGCATGCACAACATATTAATTCATGTTCATGAAAAGGCGGAAGTGTATATCAAAATACGTCGAGAAAATCATGCACCCACCTTGCGCAAAAATTTGATCTTCCCGAAGGTTGTGGCGTTTCCCAGTAAGTCCCTTATACAGGCCTCAAATGTAAATAGGTCTCCATATCCTTTTGAATTTTTCCAAATCCAAAGGCAAATTGCCAAATCGACGCCGCGAGTAGGCAAAATGACTTCAGCAAGATACGCCTATAATAACTCGAGTCTGTAACAGGTTTAAAAAAGAGAGATTGACAAAATAAAGGTCACGACTGCCTGCTCCAATAACCGCAATTCATATTCATAAGTTTTTAAACACGTATTTATTCAGAGATAAGGTGAAAGCTGACGAAATGTGGAAGAACAATTTAATAAGGCTCCAGCACTGACTAAGCATTCGAACGAGTAAGAAGTGGTTTGGCGGATAAAATATAAAAATGATGATAAAAATAGTATGAGATGAGCGAGACGACAGGTGAGGTTGCCAGTGGAAATGAACACGAATATGCTCATTTCTGCTTATTTAGAGATATGGGACTAAAGCATGTTTCAGGACGGATGAGATAGTGCAACCCATGCTTGTGCGTTTTTGGCTAATCGTTCATCGCACCCTCTGCACCCATTGTCAACTCACAAAAGTGGAGCAGCCTCTGAGAACACAGAAGGAAGGCACAGTTTCTCTCAAAGGGGCTTTTGTAAACTAAACTCGTTGAAATGAGGCGTTCACCAGATACCTTACGCCATAAGCCTCATTTCTGAGTGGCTAGAATGAAGCTCATTGTGTACGATGAAAGCATGGGGCGATTGCAATGTCCATCATTGCAACCGATCATCCAAACTTTACTGTTCTTTTATGGTCCCTTCTAGAGATGTCCACTCCAAATCGAGTCTCGTAAAAATAGCGGTTGGTTCCAGCTTACTAAGCCCCAATTACTGATCGCGCGCGGCAATCGCGATGTCGCGCGCGCTCATCTTTGTGACACATTTATCTATCGGAAGGGTGCTTCATTTTACCATTTGCTTTGCCTCTAGATTGATTCTGTTAACATTGCCTTACCACTGAGGGAGCGTTTAGATTTCGCGACGTCAGCGCTTTGGTAGCGCGTTTCGACGCGATTGACCCCGCATTCTTTTCACTGTGTCGGTCGTCGAAAGTTCGCGCTTTCTCCGTGTGCGATGGAAGCAGTGGAAAGCATGCGCGATCGACACTGTCGCGAAGCCTGAACGCTGCCCAGTAAAATGACCAACGAGGTTGCAGCAACAGAGAGAGAGGCTGGAGAGTACTACAGTAACTTTCAGCCCTATTGCCTCTTTTATTGACTGTGATCAAAAGACAGGTGTGTTACTGACATGAAGCGCACCGTTGTCTGTTCCATGGAAGCTGTTCGGCAAGCGGAACTCATAGTCAGCGAAACCTAGAAAATGCAGGATATTGTTCGGAAAAAGGCTCTCGAAAGTGAAATGAACTGTCTACTCTTTATCTGTCCTTAGAGATGGTTTTAGGCAAATAGCCCGACGTAGCACCTTGGCTTCAGAGAAAGATACGTTGAATGAAATCAGAGTTCGATCAGCCAATGGCGCAGAGCTGATCAAATACATTCCCTATCACGAGAGATTTTTCAGCTACATTATTTCTCCTAATGAACCTGTAACTTTGCGTTGGCCAAGGTAGTGTGGTCGAAGGTGGTTGGCTTGTTGCGCTCACGGCCCATTCCGTCAAATAAATCTTCACCCAAAGCAGGGGAAATTATTCGTCTGAGAGTATGAGATACTGATTCCTACATGAGGTGGCCAAGTAACTCATCGGGTAGGTCATATTGCACTCAATAGGTCACCATGACTTTTGATGGAAGTAGAATAAATACATGCCGCGTCCCAAACAAAGGTTGCTTCACTACGGAAGCTTCATCCTTTTCGTTAAAGACTCGCGGTCCCATGGTTTACCACTGCTTAAGCATCGCTTTCACTTGACTCTTCCCTATTCAGACCGCAGGTTCTAAAATGTAGGCTAATGCCGTTTGGACTCCAGAAATTTCCACCGAGCTCATTTTAAATGGCCTAAGTCACCCCATCCGCTAAAGACTTGTATATGGGGGTAGTTTAACATTCTGATTACTAATATGACATTCATTCTCGTCGCTGGCGCTAATGGATGACACTACGCACTACGATTATCTGCGCTCTGCAAGACTGAGCCCGGGAGGTAATCGTAGTGTCATCCATTAGCGCCAGCTACAAGAGTGAATGCATATTCGTAATCAGGATGTTAAATTATCCCTATATTCTAGTTTTCAGCGGATCTGGTGACTTGGGCAATTTAAAAATGAGATCGGTGCCAAAAGTTCTGGAGTCCAAACGGCATAAGCCTAACATGTATCAACGCATGCACTACGGATGAATACGGTCCCCGGTAAATTCGCACTTTCCCCATCGAATTAGTGTTTGCGAGTGGCATTATCTTGGAAAGCTATCCTCCCCCTTTACACTTTGATTCTTTCCTGTGATGCATTCATTCATCCCTGCTACGTGAAAGCGTTGTCGAAAGAAGGTCTGTTTCAGTCCCATGATCTCAACTTTTTGGAGGAATTTCAACCCCTGCGCGTAAGAGCTTGTTCTGCTACTAATGGGATACAGCCGGTTACCACTTCCACGTACCGGGATAATCTAACTACACGCACGTGTTCTCTCCCCCTCAACTTCGAAGCAGCTATCTATAACAGAGAGTGAAAGTGCAAGTGAAATTCCTATCGATTTTTCTCTCTCCTTGATTCCGAGAAAGTATGAAGTTTCGGATCGCTTGCATCTTGGCGGGGAGGTTCTGGCTTTGCCGTTCCCGTTTTTTACGTTCAGATGGTGTCGATGGCGATGACACGTTCATTAGGTTTGAGTAGTTAAAGTTCAAGTCTTAAACAGGCGCAATGCGGACCGCAAAGCTGAAGAGGTGAGCTCTGCTCCTTTTTTCATATTTCTGAAGCTCTCCAATTGTTTGCTTCCCTCCAGTCTCTTCTTTCCTTGTGTTTTTCATCATGTTGATTGTATCGTGTATGAACGCATAGCTGTAGCCTTTCTGCTGGAGGATTGGAGCATTGAGGGCGGTGCCAGAAAATTGCCGTATTCCTACCAAATTTGTCCCACGTTTCGAAATCAAGGCCCCACATCTTTGTTGTTGCTAAAGTCAAGGGACATGTTGGATGGCCCCCTCCCTGTATGGCTTTTTGAGGGGATCGCTGAGCTTCTCAGCGGGATTGTGTGGCCTCGTTGAATATACCGTGACAATTATAGCCTCCTTTCATACAAGGTGAGATGCTGGAAGGAACTTGCTGCAAATCTAAGGAGGAGCCTTCGCGCACATCTACCTGCAGTGGTGTATAAGTGTGATGTCGAAAAAGAAACCGGCGGCTCAGTGTGAACATCTCCGCTTCTATCTGCAACAGAGTAGATGCCTTCCTTGGAATAAAACTCCTCTTTAAGTGTGAGCTCTTCAAAACTAACATTGGCGCTTATTCTTTCGACCCCGCATATCACAGCTATAATGATGTTCTGACATTAACACGTGACAGCATTACCCATCAACACACTGTCATCTCAACGGAAACCTCGTGAATAGAACTTGGAATAACAAATATGAAAAAAGGAATCGGCATAATAATAATCTTACATCCCTAAAAGGGTATGCCCGTGTTCAGTTGAGACTGAGCAAGTAGCCAGATTCGCAGAGGCAGCGTTTACGCCACTCAAGGGGCGTAAAAACGAGTGGGGAGGCGCACGATGCCGTCGTTCCTCTTATTGGCACCGCCCACCGTACATTTCTAATGGTTGCCTGATGGCGCGGTTGTTCTTCTACTAACTCTCTTCACTTCGAATGATGAGAGTAAGGTGATAAGGAAAACAACTGATACCATCAAGAGCGAACTAGTGCAACCACGGCCTCTTTTCGCCTTATGTATGTACGTTCAGTTTGGCATAGGGTTCTATGTGAGACATTTTCGAGGGTTTTTCTGCTTTCTTCTTCACTGCTGGCTCATTTGCTACCTTGCTATTACTATCTGAGTCGCATGATTCATCATATTTAAACGCGGGCTCAGCCTTTGAAATCTCACCTTCAAGAAAATCTCTTGACCAGTTGGTGTTCTTTACCAAGTAGGAGCCAGCCGCCAGTTCCCAGTTGTAGAAACGGTCGTAGAATGTGATTTCTGCTTCTGGGTCGATGAACTCTTCGATTCTCCTGAATCAGCCGCTCTTTAGTTTCCAACAAATAGTTACATTGTCTCCCTGCCTGTGCGTGCAGCCCTTCCTACCCTAAAACAAATAATTTTATTCGATGATTCAGTAATGTCTGTCAACACAATCTTTGCTTTTGTGGAACCAGCATTAGTAAAGTTGAGGAGCTTCACAAAGCCTCTTAGGAATGAAGAAAACCTTCTTACTTCTTCGGATTTACAACACCCATATCGGAGTCGATAAAAGAACATAGTCGAGTTCCTTGAAATCTTCCATAAATTTCGCAACAACACAATGACGTCGAAAGAACTTCTGAAGGTCTCCTATTTAATGATAGTGATGGGCAAAGATGGTTTTGGCATAGCTAGAGAGCGCCTCTTGTGTGCTATGCTGAGTTACACTAATGGGGCCAAAATTACAAGATAGCAGTGTGAATGAGAGTGAAAAGGGAGAAGCGCATTTGCATCTCTTCTTCCTTTTCGTGGGAACGGTTGGCCTCTATCTACTATTAGGATCGATGTCAGGTTACTCAAGAGCGAAAGAGTTGAAAGGGTGACACCAAATCACACTTTCATGGATTGATAAAAAAAGTTCCCCTCCCCTCGTTTATGAGTGACTTCATTCCTAATGACTTCATTAGAATAGAGCTCTTGATTCTTTCATAAGCACCAAATGCTCTGTCATAAGCACCGAATGCTCGCAGCTTTTGTCCGCAGCTGTCCGCAGCTGTCCATTGTCCGCAGCTGTGTGCGTATCAACGTTCTTCGACTATGTTTGCGGCCCTCATAAGATATTTTCTCAACTTCGCCTATGCTATCAGTGACTCAGGAGTACAGCACTATGAGAATTATCCGCCAAGAAAGCCTATTCTGAACAGCTCGGTTTTATTCTGAGCTGATGCAAGAACGATTCTAAAATGTCATTTGAAGACGAAGTCAGAGATATTAATAAACAGCGTGTTGTCAATAAGAAAATAATTGTATTGAGCAGGTTGGCTGAAAAAATGAAAAAGGGGGGTCAAAGAAGTGTGCGTGCATGTCCTTTACAGTGCGATCTTCATTAATATTTGATTTTCGTCCCGGTAGCCATAGTCGCTCATTAAGGTATGCTAGGTTCTTGGAACCGCAGCAAACTGGAGAGGTGAAGGTACGCACAAGCCCAGGTCTGCAATAATATCCCACACTCGCGTGATCACATTTGCTTTCAACTCCAACGACTGCAAAAATCGTACAATAAAAGTGAATTTGAAACGAAGTTTGTATGAGTACATGTCGACAGTGAACGTCAAGTGAGATGCTTCCGATGACAAGGGCGTGCTGATGGTCTGATCACATGAGAAGATTCCTACCATTCGGATACTAAGTTTCGTAGACATGGGTACCAGATTAAAGACTATGAGAAAACGAGAAGAAAAAGGGACGCGTCTCAGGAACTTCATGATGCTTTCACAACTGGGCAGTCTCCAGAATCTTCACCTCCTGTGTTTTCTCAATAAACTAATCGAAGCAGAAAAACGGTGAAGGGCTTCCTCAAGGAAATAGCATTTGATGAATGGTGGCGGAACTTTGTTGGTAGCAAGATGAAAAACTCCTCTGAGCAGGGTAGTAGAGCTGGCGAGGGCAGGAAACTGGGTTCACGCCGAAGAGCAAACAATATATTTTCCCAAGCTAGCCCATTACGTTTTTTCTGGATCACGTCTTTTGGCTTCGAACCGTTTATTTCGTTAACGTGATGGCTTGTAAAGGGAAGCATAGATGGAAAGAATGCAAAATTCCCTAAGGAAAAGGTTATTCATACAGTAGACAAAACATTTTTTGGCTTTTTTCGAAAGTGATCCAAAAGGAAAGTATTTTACATGCGCAATTCTGTTGAGTCATCTTTGCAAAACTTCGAAGAGATCCAATACACTCCCGCCCGAAAAAGAAAAAGTGAAAGCAGAGAGAATTACTATCAGGTTGTTCGAAAGTCCTGCGACAGTTTGACTGAATTGTTCTAGAAAAAGACCAAAAATCATTTTGGATGTTTTTATCTCTGATTCGTGGAAAGTGTCCTCTGGGTTTCTGCACACGGGTATATCATGACTTTGAGGAAGTTTTCAAAGCTTAAAAGTCCCCCAGAGATCGAGGTACTCTCGACCTGTCCCATATCATGAGTTCCTCTAGGGCCACTCCGCTGTAGTCTAGGAAGCTGACACCTATGTAGCATAGGGTAGCTTTTGCATCAGCGCCTCTAGGCGGACTTATTCAACTCGTAGTTAGGCAATGTATAGGTCGCCCATCAGCACAGAGTGACGGCCCTTTACTCAAGCTTCTTGAGGCGCAGCCGAACGTAACCACCGGTAAATTGGCGACCTCTCTAGGCTTTACCTGAATGACAACTGCCATGCTTCTCCGCAATCTCGGTTACCGGAAAAAATTTTTGTGAAGGATGCCTCATGATTTGGACCCGTTTGACAAGTCATACCGAATGACCGCGACTGAGTTTTCGTTTCCTTGTACACAGCGAAAGAACTTTTGGGAGATCTTGTGGTTGGTAACGAGTGTTGGAGTCTACGTACATCATGCACATGTCCCTTGCAGGATCTCTCAAACAGTAAAGTAGACTGTTTAGCCAAAAGCAGATGTGCATGGGAAAAAGATTACAGTGTGTTATTGGTGGGACTTCAAAGCGGTATCACTGAATACCAGCACCGTTGTAAGGACCGTAGTCCACCTTAATCGACTACGAAATATGGATGACGTCACGCTTGAATTCATTCAGAAATACTCAATTTTTCTCTAGTACTCGGTAATGCGAGGAACGCATGTGTGGGGATCAGGCTACGCCAAAAGATCATGGATTTCGATCGGAGAATGCTACCGTGCCCAGGTTATTTACAAAGTTAGCAGCCTCTAATTATCACCTCTTTCGGTCCCTACCGCATCCTTTAGAAAGCGAAAATTCCGAAAATCGACTTCAACTTGAGGGTGAGGTCCACCTCTTCTTTTTATCATAGTTGCTGTAGTTCTTTGAAAATGGAAATGAGGAGCTGTGCAAACAGGGCACAGCATTCGATGGGGATTTTGGTAGAGTTTTTACGCCCCCCCTTTTAAAAGGCGCTCGTACGACCCCCCCCCCATGCTCGTACGATGTTGACATGACACGACCATTTTAGAAGTTCACTGATAAAAAATTCCCACTTTTTTTCGAACTTGAGCACGTTGATGATCCGTGAAACGAGCACACGTGTGGCGTTTTGTAGTTGAAGATTGACGAGGGAACGTTGATGGCCTTGTGATTTTCCTTATGTCGTGAGCAAGTTTTTATCCATTTAGGGCAGAACACTTGCTTTCCGCAATATCCGGAGTTTGGAGGCAGGGGAATTGGTATATTGATGTGTCCTGATGGACACTGGATAGGAAGCCAACATAAGCGTGTTGACTGTTGACGTTGTCCACTATGGCTGCAACGGCCATACCTTTTTCCACGCACTGGTCGGCATAGATGTCTTCTGGCGATTGGTACTGTGCTGGGACATATGTTGCTTGTTACGCTATCTGACGCGTTACATCGAGATAAAAGTGCCGTGAAGATGATACTTACAATAGTGAGCAAAGAGTTTAGCTTCGCTTTTGATCTGGGTACCATGTCATGATAGAACCACTAGTCTTTCGGCTGGGATTTTCGCTTCTCTTTCAGTGACATACTCCTTTCCCGGAGATGACATTCGAGGCGGCAGATCAAGTTTAGTTTAGAGGTCTGTGATTAACTCCTTATTTGCCAAAGAATCTGAACTGTTCTCTGGAATTTATCATTGGATCCAATTGTTTGGCCGATTTTCCATTGACCTCGCTTCAATTTGTCGTCCTGAATGATGACATGGTCGTGAAGCTTCGGGTGTTGAGTCTTATTTTGCAGACGAGGGTGTTTGTGAGAGCGGTATTGTTCTCTGAGGCTCACCAAGTACTCTGACTGCCATCGTTCCAAGAAGAGGTTGAGTTTTTCGTTCGTCGACTTCCACATTTCGATGAGGTCTTCTTGAACGATCGTTCGTGGTTCTACTTCTTCCAAGCTTCCGATTTGAGGAGTAGCGATTACTGCTGTTGGTCGCAAAAAGTCGATTGGTCTGAGAGGGAATTGTGATTGCTCTTCACTTACTAGGTTAGTGGACGGGAATTACAGACGGCTCTGCATTCTGCTACGAGAATTTTCAGAGTTTCTATGTCGTAGAGTTCGTTTTTTTTGATACGATGATTTGAAAATGCCAACCATTCTTCATATACTCCTCCCTGCCATAGGCTGTGACTTGCTATGAATTTGAACTGGATTTTGTGATCTGCGCAGTAGTCCATGGTTGTGGTATCGCTTACTTTCGTCTTGAACAGATCGCACTGAAGTTCGTTTAGTGTCTTGAAACTTTGGCGTTGTCGCACACTATCCAGCGTGGGAAACCGTTGGCCGCGATGAACCGCCGTATCACGTGAAGAAGAGCAACTGCACTCATACTGGTCACAATTTCACTGAAAATCGCTCTGGTATTCAGACATGTGATGAGGATGATCCAGTATTTGAATGTAGAAGGATTGTCTACTCTATAGCTGAAAGGTCCCATGTACTCCATCCCCTTCTCTCGAATGGGTATCTTCGTCACTCTTTCTGGAGGGTGTGCGGGAAAGCCTGGTAACGAGAACGGTTTTGCTTTTGCCTTTCTGCAGATGTAGCAGTTGTTGCGCAGAGTTTGGGATCATACAAAAACGAGGGCCCTTTGAACCACAAATGAGAGCTGATTAATTCTCTGATGGGCATTCCTCTGCTTCCAATGTCAGCTGGATTCTTCTCTCCCGGCACGAAACGTAGGATTGATGAGAAATGTTATCTTTGATGCTTTTGCTTTGTTGATAAATACAGGTAGCGCTTTCTCGCATTTTGTCCACATCAGCGCCACTTTACTGTCTAACCAAATGTAGCTGTTTTGAAGATGAACATCAAGATGGGAGTGTAGAAACTTCGTCAATTTTGCGCTGATAGCTCTAGTCGAGGTATTGTTGGAGCAGAACGAAGAGGTGAGATACGCGATTTTGCTATCAAGAAGGAATCTTCGATATTTCCATTGTTGTCTTTACACACCAAGTACGCGACTGCGCAATATGCTATCTTGGATGCATCAGTGAAGACGTGAAGGTCGAATACGTGGTCTGGTGAGATGCCGGAAGTAAATCTCCTTGGTAAGCGGATGCTTGGAATGAACCA